CAAGCCCTGTGCTTTCATAGCTTCACAATGTCTCATCTGGTGTAAAACAATGAGAATTAAAAGTGTGGGTCAAATAGGGGGTGTCTTGGCCTTCCCCGAGACCCAGGGTCCTGGGGCCTGCAGGCCCCCAGAGCCTTGTTCAGCTAACTGCAGGGCTCTGACTTCAGCCTGCTGCTTGCTACTCAGCCACATGCTTGTTGGGAGGAACAGACCTGGCTGACTGCCAGCAGAACTCTAACCCTCCCCACCTCCTTTGACACAGATCCAGCCCGCAATTACTCCCTCTGACTCACACCTTTCTCCTATGGATCCATTTCATCAGCAGCCCTTAAAAGCAGCACCTCCCACTCAGCCACCACCATCTCGTCACCCATGCCAGGGCTCAGCAGGGTAAAGGTGACAGGCCCTAAGGGCTGGAGGGATCTTTACCTCATCCGTGGCACAGATGGAGCCTGGGCAGTGGCACAGTCCCGCAAGCTGCTGCACCAGTGGCTGTGAGCCCTGCCCTGACTGTCAGCCTCAGGCAGTCACTGGCCCACAAAGCAGTCAAACTGCAGCAACAGGCTTTGCTATGGGGACACCAGGCCTGAGATCCAGCTGCCTTACTGCACCCAACTAGGTTCTAGATGGCAGCACCTCTCGGTCTCAGCCAGTCTGGACTCACCCAGCATGTTGGTGGGCATGCCCAGGAGAGTATGCATCAGGTCATGGACTTCCCGGTACCGCTGGATCACGTAAGCCAGCTCCTCGTCATCAACAAATTTGGCCGGCATCCTTGTATCTGGAGAAACCCTCTGCAAACAGAACAGCAGGCTGGGAATCAGTGCCTCTTACAAACAGCATAATAATGATGGCCCCCAGCTTAGAGAGCGCTCTCTTCAGCAGACTTCAAAGCACAGTACCAACAGGGTCAGTGCAGCTGCCCTCATTACATGCATGGGGAAACTGAGGCTCAGAAAGGGGAGGCGTCTACCCAAGGCCATACAGAAGGCCAGTGGCAGAGCTGGGAATAGATCCCAGCTCCTGAATATCAGCGTGGTACCCATTCCTTTGGGACTCTCCAAACCTGCTGTCTTCTTCACTACACTACTTAGCACCTCCTTCTGGAGCCCTTGTACAGGGCCAGGCCCTTAAGATAGACTACAGCCATTCACCACTCCCCACCTCCCCCTGGGGCCTGCTCCAGGCTGCTCCACACCACACTCACGTTGTCTTCTAAAAACCGCATGTATTCCCGACCAAATGTCCCATCCGGCAGCCCCCGGAGCCCCGCCACATCCAGGGTGGACAGCCGGATCCGTGGCCGCTCTCTGCAAGGGAAATGGGCCAAGACACCCCTTGAAGGAACAGACTGCTGGGAGAAGCTGATGTAACTGGGGCCTGTGCAGCAGCATTGCTGGAAGCACCACCTAGACCCTGGCATTTGGCTGCTGCTTTTCACTGCCCGAATAACCATCTATCCCCTGTGGTGGGAGGTCGACCATCAGCTCCACCTCACTTCTGTGGAGCTCGGGTGCAGAGAGCTTAAGACTCTGCCTGAGGCCATGAGCCTTGTCATCAGGCTTGATGCCCAGCTGCAGTTTTTCAGCCCTAATAGTTGGTACATGTGCTGTGGGAGCACCCAGTGGCCTCAATCAGCATCAAGGTCACGTTGCTCTGGGTGTCACAAACCTAGCAAGAGGTGGCCCTCGCTTCCAGCATAATTAAAATGCCATGTGAAGAACAAGTGTAACAAACACTCAGGAGGGGCAGGGAAGGGGGGACATACATGCAGGAGGAATAACAAGCATTTGGCCCTTGAAGCAAGGTGACTGCAGAAATCCCTCCTGGCTTTTAGCCTCACTCACAGCAGTTTCCTGCAGGCACCAGGGCAGAAATGGCTCTGGAGGAGGGTGCTCAAACCACTTTGGGAGGGTGTTTTCAGGTAAGGTGCTTGTGGGAGAAGCAGACGACTATGTGATCAAGGCTGTGGTGCAATAAGATCTGCTGCTCTCCTGCCCTGCTCTGGTGGGGAGGTCACAGACGTGTGCTCCAGCACTCCTTGAAGGAGGAGGTTTGCCAGTAAGAGCAGCAGCAAAACTGGAACGAGAGAGGCGGGAAGGAGCAAAGGCTGTGCATTACTAGGAGCCCAATTTACTGTTAATGTCTGTGCCTTTGCCAGGAAGGCTCTTACAGATGTCAGGGAGCAGAAGAACCCCGGGGAATTCAAAACTACCCATCCTGCCTCTTCAAGGACAAGCACTGCCGCACCGGCAACTGCCCTGCCGGCCTCCCAAACGCGCCTCCCTCCCTGCCACGGGCTGCGCAAGAGAGAGGATAACGCACCGCAGGATCTGATACCCCTCGGCATCGCGTCTCATCTTGTCCCGCAGCCTCTGCAGGGCGAGGGAGCCAGTTGTCTCGCCAAGAACCGCCACCATATCTGGGAAAGGAGGGAAGAGGCGTCCACGAGAACAGACCAAGGTGGGAGCCAGGGACAACCCGCGCGGCGGACAAGAGCCCGAGGCCTCGGGGCGGCAGGGCCCACGTAGTCGACACGTGGGGCAGCGCCAGGTCTGGGCACCTGCTGCTGCTCGCAGCGTCCCCGGGGCAGGGCTCCCTGCTCCTCGCCCGGCCTGCTGCGCTGACACCAAGGCCCTCGGGCCTGCCCCGGCCCCCCGCGCCTCCAGGCCGATCGCCCCGGCCTGCCCTGCCCTGCCCTGCCTTGCCCCGGGGAGCCCGGCCTTACCATGCCGGTACGGGCCGGGGTAGAGCGGGCCTGCAAGGGAAGGGAGGCGGCGGCTGGCGGCGGAGCAGCCCGGGGCAGGGGGCGAGGAGCCGGCCCGGCGCTAAAACCCGGGGTGGGGGGGCCTTGCCTGCGAGCCCCGAGCCCCGCAGCAGCCCCGCGCAACAGGCGGCCATGTCCGCCCCGGACGGGTGCGCAAAAGGGCCAAAACACCCAGCCGCCTTCCGGCACAGTTCCACCCCTTGTTGCCGGGGGACCGCATTCCGCGACGCACCCTGCGGCCGGAAGCGCATATCGGCGCCCGCACAGGAAGTGTGGTGGGACCTCATTCCCCGACGGATCTGGAGGTCGGAAGTGCCCGGGGCCGGGGCGATGGCGCTGCACGGGGGCTCTCGAAGAGAAGCGTGGTTGACTGTCCCCGGGCGGGGCGGGGCACTTGGGGCCTGGCTGCGCCTCCCGGGGGGCTGACAGCAGCATCCGGCCTTTTCTTCCCGTCCCTCCAGGCCTGAACTCGCTGGAGCAGCGGTCCCCGCGGCAGCACGTGCGCTTCCTGCCGGGCTTCGTGGAAGGAGAGGCGGGCAAGGAGCTGACCCCGGTAGCCACCCGCCTGCCCGTGCTGGCCGACCACCCGCTGGGTAAGGCGCGGGGAAGGGCCCGGGGTGGCGGAGAGCTAACTCCACTGGGATCCGGTGGCTGGTGCCTGCTGGTCACGCGCTCCGAGGGGATAAAACCAGCACATGTTTGCGTTGCAGAGAAGCTAGAGGAAGAGCGAGAGCGCGGGAAAGATTTGGGATTTTGACTCCATTTTAATGATTTGCTAGAGAGGTTCTGCTTTGGGCACTGCACAGCCGCGAGATTTAGACCGAGGAAACTAAATTGCTTTGAAACCTTGGGTTTTGTCTTCTGCCATCGTGCTGGTTAATCAAAAAGTCCAGCTATATTTCTGGTGGAGAAACTAAATGTTAGGCATGTTACCAAACATACAACATATTTGTTGTCTTTATAGTGAAAGGACCGAGGTTCACTCGCTTGAAAGTTGGAGCAGGCCACCGGCTGGATGTAAAGTCTTCTGGAGTGTTTGGTAGGTTTTGTCTTGAAACCGAGAAAAACGTATTTTCGGTGTGGAATCTGGAAGTATAGGGAAGGGTTTTGTTTCTGTTTGTTCTGTACATAGCTAGGAAAGAATTGCGGAGCACTCTGCTGCCAGCGTGTGTGGATTTTATTGGGCAGGGCAAGGATGTAAGCCTTAGGTTACAAGAGAAACAGACGAATCAAATGCAATGTTTTGGAAGGATGAGACATTACAAGGGAGAGAGAACTGACTAGTTATTCTCAGAGAAGCCACGTGCCTGGAGGACACTGTGCTCTGCTACAATGAAAAGCCTCTAGGCTGTCTTGGCTCTACACACTAGCCCATTGTATCTGTTTCCCTGTCTGTGAAATGAGTACAATGATGGTGCCCTTCCTTGGTAAGGTGCTTTGAAGGCTACAAGTGAGAAGCACTAAATAAAACTGGGTGCTTGTGGCAATCAGAACACCTGATGTTTGTTTGATGGCAACTCTCAGCCACAAAAGGAGAGGTAAAAAAAAAACTGATGGTGAGTTTTGAGGACACAGATATATTGCTGACTAATTTGAAAAGCCCCTGTAGACAAATGTTTAAATCCAAATAAGTTTTAAATATGAAAAGTGGTTTCCAATTTTGTCTTTCTTTCAGTGCTTGGAGTGGGCCAGGGCTGCAGGCTGCTCACAGACATGTACAATGCCCATTTTACTAAGGTATGCCGTGCAGTGCAATGCAAACTGGGCTAGAAGTGGGGATATGTGAGAGTGATGATTCACAGTGGTGATCCAAGGCCTAGTTAGAAATTGCACTGAAAAAGAAGAGTCAAATGTCATATTGCAAGTGGGCCAATAGCATGCACAGCTATGCACAGCACAAATCACTGAGATTAAGCAGTATTTAATATCCATTAAGCAGATTAAGTGATATTCAATATCCATTTCTGCCCCTCAAAGGATTCCTGGAAGAATTGGTAATAGGATACAGAGGGTTTTTTACCTCTAAATCAATACTGTGAATCTTGCCTGGATCAGGATTGTGAAAATAAATACCGTTTTTACATAAGCTTCTAGATTGGCCAGCTGGGCCTTGTTCTCTCCTAGTAGGGAGGGAGTCATCCATGTCTTTCAAACCATCCGATCTGGCCTATTTTGTCAGCAGTCATGGCAGAGAAGCCATGCTTGGAATGTACTGTGGGAAATTAACTCATTTCTTACTCCTAGAGGCAATGTCTCCAGTTCAGAGATGAGACACACAAACAATTAGCTTTTTCTGTGTTATTCTACAGGCGAGGCATTAGGGGGTTGCCAGTATGTCTTCCAGCCTTATGCAGTGCAGGTGTGGATGCCACAGTGAAGAAAAGACATTGGCTTTTAACCCTTGTGCTCCTACCAGGACTGCTACTGAAATACCAGTGCTAGCAGGCGTGGGCAGACAAAGCCAGAGGCATGTGTTGGCTGGGGAGAGGGAAAAACAATTTGGCTTGTTGCACATGCCATTGCCATTCTGGGCAACCTCCAGGTCTGACCATCTCCCTCCTTTCACCAGCTCTAAATAAATTCACAAGTGCACAGAGGGTGAAACCCTGGCCCTGCCTTCAGTACAGATATGCATGTTTGTACATGACTGTGTCCAAACCATGCAAAGATGTGGCATATTCCTGCCCATGTGGACAAAGCATTATCCTAAGAGTTGGATGAGAACTAAGTTGACTAAATAGGAAGATACTGTGTATTAGAATTTATAAACACAGTAAGGAGACAGGCAGGTTGTGTATGCAGGCGTCCTAAAAATACTGTGGTGTGAGAGAGACAAGAAATATGCAAGCTGTATTGTGTTATTTTCAAATTGGAGTGTGCAGACCACTCACCATTCCCATTTGTCTGTATTTCTGTCTGATTCATCATGACAGAGATCAGTGGGGCAGGGGATGTTTTACAGGTTTGTACAGAGCGTAGCACAAATGGGGCCCTCAGCATGACTGGGGGCCTTCAGGCACTTACTGCAGGATAACTAATAGTCATGATTATGCTCCTTGTCGGCACTGCAATGAGATGGTGGTTCTGGGGACCTGAGGCTGGAGATCAAGAACAAATAGGAGTTTTAAAAGTCTGTGCCTCAAAGGACACCACAGGAGCTTTAAAAAAAAGCTATACATGTTCCAAGCCAAACAGAAAGCAACTCAAGACCCTCAGAGAAAAGTGGAGAGGTTGTGCTACTGGCACAAGGTTTAATGCCTACCTGTGACTTGCTGAGGCAACTGTCAGCTGCTGTGCCTGACATCCCGCTTATGTTTCAAACAAAAAGCACCAGTGCTTTCTAAAGCCATTAGCAGCTCATCTGAGAAGAAAGGTGCCCCTTGCCCTGTGAATGTTCTGGCAATACTCTCTGTTCAGAGGCTACTAGTTTCCTTCAGAGAAGTTCTTTGTGTCCTGCATTGCCCAGCAATTTCTGCACAGTAGGTGTTTTTACTCAGTGTCTTTCAGAGTGTTCCCTCTGCAAATAATGCTCGCTCTTTTTTTTTTTTCCTTTCAAGGATTACACTGTTCGTGGTCTGTTTGGCAAAGCCACAGATGACTTCTCCGATACAGGAAAGCTAATAGAGAAGACAACATTTGGTAAGGGACTTGGTCAGTGTGGTTTTAAAAAGTCAATAAGTAGAACGCAAAGCATTAAACCAGGCCAGATTGAGCAGCATTAAAAGAACACTTTAAGTACCCTCTAATCTATATTCATGAGGATTTGCTGTAACTCCTGTTCTGTTTTACCACAAACCTATTAGCTTATAGTGTACTCAATGCAATCAGTGTGTAACACCAATTTACAATCCTGATCATGCAGACTGCCATTGTATTGGCTGCACCCAATGCTGCCTGTGCTTAAGGAGGCATAGCATCCTGACTTATGGAGTAATCGTCATACACCTTCATAAAGACTTTCGTTAAATTCCTGAAACATCTCAAGGAGAAATTGCTGTCACTGTCTTGAAACCAATGCAGTCTCTTTTCCACCTGAGACTTCTTTGCTTTAAAAAACTGCATAAAGTCAGTGGGTTCCGTTTCCTATTCTTCTGTACTTAGCTATAGTATGGCTATACGTCTCCTGGGCTTCCCGCCAGCTCATTTAGATGTAACCACTCAATCAGGAGATTGCATTTTTGATGCTGCATTTCAGACCCACGTAACCTTTCCAGATGCTAGGTGAATAAATGAGGATTTGTTTCCCTCTTAACACTTACAGATCACATCACAAGAGAAAAGCTGGAAAGGATTCTTGCTGTCATTCAGGGAAGCAATCATAAAGCTCTACTGACGTACGTCTCCAATCAGAAACCCTGGCTGACCTGACCTGACTTCAGTGCTGCCGTTTGCTAATCTTTGGAACCAATGAGATTAGTTATCTTGCAGCAGCCAGAGATTGTAAAGGTTGGGGTCTTAGATCAGAATAGAGGAGAGTTATCTTGGCTTCTTCATCCTTGGAAGTAAAACTGTGACTAAAGACTTACTTTGGATTCTGAAGTTTCATGTTACCTTTGGACCTGTGCTTAACATCTTGGAGAATAAAGATCTTCTCTGATACAGCAATGGTATTATAAGATGATCAGGCATGTTTACAGGATTGAAAAGGGTGGGGATGAGAATTGAAATTGTAGTGAGTGAACAGATCTTTAGTCTGAAGTGTGAATACAGCATTTTTGTCTTATAGCATTCTTTGAATTCATTGGGAAGGTGGTGTTCGTTCACTACACTAACGCATTGCTGGGGTTTTTTTTTCCAGGTACGCTAACATTGACCTGAAAACCCAAGAGGCCTATGAGCTGGCAGTTAAAGGGTTACTTCGCCCTACAGAGAAAAGTCCTCCGTTAATCACAGCGATTCGCTGCCTTGAGTTTGCTCCTCCAGAATTCCAACTAGGTAGGGATGATTTTGGGCTCTAGAAGTGCTGTGAAAGTGTATTACATCATGAATCTGACAAGAAGTAGCTCCTCTCAACACTTGGCTACTCTTAAGTGGCCTGATCTCACCAATGCATTTTGCAATCAAGCTGCAAGCAGAGATGGGTCTGTTAGAGCAGCCTATTCTGTACCAGCTGGTAACTCAGCAGAAAGAATAAACATCATCTTGCTAAATGGCCAGGATCAAGGCAGTTTGGCAGGGCACAGTGGGGAACTTTGTCCAATCTTTGCCTGATAGGAATAACTGCTATACTGGATTGGACCAGTAGGCCTCCTAGTCTGGTATTCTGTCCCTGATGGTAGCCAGTGCTGGAAGTTTCACCAGACAGCGCAAGTGGGTGAATAATGGACTAGCATGCCTATGCAGAAAGATCCCCTTTCATCCACCACTTAGTGCAGCACCCCCCAATACCTTTGCAAGCTGAGCCTGCCTTCAGCCCTTTGCATCCCTGCCCCAGGTGGTTAATGGGGACCTTCACCATTCTTAATCTATACATTGTCTAACTGTTCTTTTGGTGCAGTCCACCTCAGGCACTGCTGAGGTAGTGCTTAGCTTATGACGTAAACATATATTCTCATAAACCTTTATCCTGCCCACCTTATTCTGAAAAGCTTCTCCCACTCCACTATCCAGTTCTGCACTATATGCCCCTCCACCTCATGCTTGGAGATTTGGGATATTTTGCAAGACATCTGTAAAACTATCATTTACTTATCCCTCAGCTGAAAAAATGGAAGTGCGTAGTTGCATGTATTTGCTGCCTCTTCTGATGAAGTGTCTGTGCCCCTTGTAGAAATCCAGTGCTTGCACGAGACTCAGCAGTACCTCCGAAAGATAGTTCATGAAATTGGCTTGGAGCTGAAGTCAACTGCTGTGTGCACACAAGTGCGAAGGACCCGGGATGGCTTCTTCACACTGGACAAGGCTCTTCTGAGAACACATTGGGACATGGAGAATATCCAGAAAGCAATTCAAGACTCCAGGCTCACAGTGCAAACAGAACTCGAGAAAAGTTTAGGCCACCTGGAAAGGGCTGCTTATGATGAACATATCGAGATGGACCAGGTTGAAGAGGGTGACGCATCAAGATAGCCCAGTGTTTGGGGGACACCTGCCAGCAGCCTCTCATAAACAAGATAGCCACGTGTTAACCAGAAGGGTGAACAATAATAGATAGGAAAGAGAGTAATCCACAACTAGCCTTTCTTCGGATGGCCCTTAGCTTAGCAGGAGTTGTTTGTTTTCATCCAACATGTCTCCATTGAGAGGCAAAATATTTTCTTTTAAAGTGTTGCACAACAGTATAGTGAGATCACTGACATCTAAGATAGCTTTGCATTTACTTCCAAAGCCAACCCCCCGCTGATGTTACTGGGAAGGTTCTGTTGGTAAGGACTGATAGAGTGGAAATACATACCAGTGTGTTGCAGGCTGTGCTTCTTCTACTGCATGCTTACTTTATTTTGCTCTTTGTAATGAGAAGTGCAGCCTAGCTATAGGAATTCTTTCCCCAAATACAAAGGTTTTGTATGATAACATAGGGTATAGATCAACCCTATTTTCATATGTTGAAGGTGTAAAGAGCTATTGGTCAAACCAAAAAAATGAACCTGTGCAAGGAAGATGTAAGATTTGAGTGAGGCAAAACTTTCCTAGGAAGGGGAATGCTTCATTTGGCTTCTTCACTAATCTCAACAAGAAGGCGAGGTAAGCTTGTGCAAAGGAATTCAGGAGTAGGATATAAAAGCAAGAAATAGGCTGGAAGAAATTCAGATTCAGTGCAAAATATTTATGTGGAAAGATGCTGCTCCATGGTACCGACATTTTAAAATGAACAGGACCAAAATCCCTGTGATTCCCAACATCTTGTGGATTTATCCTGCCCTACTGAGTTAACAGAATGGTCAGTATAACATAGCTGTACAAACTAGCTGACAGAGGTGTGACCACTTTAAGGCTACAACTTACTATTGAAAATGCACCATAAATTGCCTGTTGTAGTTGATCACTGCTAATTTATTTCTAAAACATGCAGATCCAAGCACAATGCCAGATGTACTAAAGCAGCTGCAATCTGAAGTCTCAGAGTACCAATTGCTGTAGTATGCAAGTTTGGTTTTGACATAAGGAAAGGCTGATGTGAGGGATGGGCATTAATAACAATATCCCATTTTAGATTCGCCACTGTTGTTTTCAAGGTTATGTCCTAACAGGTACCTAGTGACTCTGCAGATTTGCATGCAAGCAATACAGGATTTCTGCTACGAGAAAAGATTCTGCCTTTACCTCTTTTAGGCTCTGCCTGGGGCACTTGTAGATACAATTCTTTCTTTGAAGATGTACCCAGACAGCTGTTAAAGGTGAGGTGTTACTCTGTGGTCTCACAGTGGATAATCCCCAGTGAAGCAAGTGTTTAACAGTGATGGCTGATCTTGTTTCTGTGTTTGTTTATTTTTTTAAAGGAATTTTAACTAAATCCATAGATCTTTTGCCTTTTTTAGCTATCTCCAAGGTTTTCTGGATAATGATCAGAAGCCCAGCCAAAGCAGCACTAGGGCTCTCCTGCCACCTTATGGTGGAAGAGCATAAACACTTCTCTGGAACAGCTGGCGTGAACTCAGTAAAACTGCTAGTGTATTTGCTCTTATTCCTTGTTAATAAGCAGTATTTGTCTATGATGCTAGGTGCCATCTAATGAACATCCTTTCTACAGACAGTTATTGATGCAGGCTGAAATTTAAACAGGACAGGGCAATTAGGGTTTACAGAGCAGGGAGAGAGGCTGAAGAGTAGAAACAACATCCAGCTTGCAGAAAAATGGGCAACAAGTATCATAGATGTTAGGGCTGGAAGGGACCTCTAAGATTATTGGTTCCAGCCCCCTGCCCAAAGGGCAGAAAGTCAGGTAGGGTCAAAGGATCCCAGCAAGATAAGCATCCAGCTGTTTCTTAAAGGTGTCCAGAGTAGGTGTCTACACCACCTGTGGGGGGAGTCTGTTCCAGGCCTTGGGGACTCGGACTGTAAAGAAGTTTTTCCTTATGTCCAGCCTAAAGTGGTCTTGCGGAAGTTTGTGACACTTAGACCTTATCATCCCTTGGGGTGCTTGGTGAACAGTTGTTCCCCCAGATCCTGATGCACACCCCGATGTACTTACAGGCTGCCACCAAGTCACCCCTGAGCCTGCCTTTTTCCTGGCTGAAGAGTCCCATAGCTCAGAGCCTCTCTATCTGCTCACTAGAGACCACTTCCCTCCAGAGCCCAGGACAGAAATCAGGATCCTCAAGTATTACATGATCACCAGGGATCCGAGTTTTGTTTCATGCAGAAAAATAAGTATTTTTTCCCTTTAAAATCAGGAAACTGCTGGCAGGGAGCAAGCAGGGGGCAGCAGGCAAATATGGCCAAGCCACTAGGGGATGCTGCCCAGCTGCAGAGCAGTGGCTTTCCCTCACCCCCACCAGCAGGGGCTTGGTCCTCTTGTGCCCAGAACCCACTGCTATGAGGGAGGGGACAGGCCTCCCAGAGGTGTTAGGTGGATCCTTCCTGCCACCGCACCGAGACTCTCAGCCATGCAATGGGTCTCCTTGGCACCCCTGCAGCAGCAGGTCCCGGACAGGGCAACGAGCTCCCTGTGCCTTCGATCATGTTTGTGCCACTGCAGCCCAAACCTGGTAGTATCCTCCGCACTCCAGGGCCAGGCCCTCCCCAGCTTGCCCCAGGGGGGAGGGGGAAGGGGTCTAGTCCCAGCAGGGCAACAGGTCAGGAGTGAGGGGCATTGGCAAAGCAAGGGGTGGGGGGTGACTATGGCTTAGGAGTGAGCGCCAATGGCATGGGCAGGGCACTGGCTTATCAGAGCTATTCAGTACCGCAAAGCAGCAGGGGAGACGGCTACAGCTAGCCCCATGTCCTGGTAAGCAAAGGAGGCAGGGGGAGCTCCAATTTCCCATGATAAAAAAAACAAAATCAAACACCAAAATATACAGGTATGTAAACATTTTTATAATGATTAAGGCACCAGTAGGCTTCCAAATTGCTTTAGAACTGTAAATTTATCAATAAAACACTGTAGTCAACTGATACCTATATAGAATAGCATTTCAGTTTAATCATGGAAAAACAGGGATTTTAATCAGAGAGTTTTGGGGGTTTTATCAGAGAAAACCGGGATCCCTGGATCACATGACTTTTCTGCAGGACTCCATCCATGGAGTTTAGGTCCCTAGCAGAATGCATAGGCAGAAGAGGAAAGCATCAAGGTAACAGAAAAAAAATGCCACAATGTAAGGTTATCAACTCTAATGCCCTACTTTGCAGCCTTACTATTCTCTGCTACAAGTTTTGCTCATCTCAAGATGCTGCTGAAGTTAGCTGCAACCAGGCACCTGGAAATCAGGAGAGGGTCTCTCCTTGTGTCCACTGTTGCCTGCAGCTGGCAGCATTGGTGCTAATACTGACCGCATTGCTGCCTCTCGGGAAGTGTCTGTCTACAAGTTAGTTCACTACCAGGGAACATGATAGCATTCTCCTTAGCATCTCTACAGGCTGGTAAAGGGAGTGGCTGAGAAACAAGAGCCAACTTATTCAAATTAGATACCTTAACACAAGTTCAGGCTTTTCCATTTATTTAATATTACAAATAATGCACAACCATAACCGCCTTCTAGAACCCAGTCCAGTGGGACACTTAAGAGGCTGAACACCCACAACATGAGGGTGAGGCCTACAAGCACTTTACTCTCAGCAGGTCCTTTCTTACTTAGTGTTTTTTTAACCTGTCACACTGCATGTTCCCCCAGTCCTTCTGGCCTTTCATCTGCCCACTTACCAACAACTGCTGTCTCATTCCACCCTCCCAGTAACCCTTGTCACATTGTCCAGATGTGAGGGCCAGCTGGGAAAGGGGTTAAACATGAACTCTGAATTACAATCTTCTGTAAGTTGTTTGTTTTTTTTTAAACTCTCACCAAGAAGAGAAGTCAAAAACTGACGTCACCCAAAACATCCTCATTCCAGAAGAGAAGGATGCTCCTTCCCTGAAAACAGGCAATTAATTCAATAGCTTTTGTGTTCTAGAATTTAGTTATTTACAGATCTAAGGCAGTAGACAGCACCCTTGAAAGTCTACATATTTATTGCCCTGGTATACAGGTTCCGAATGCATCAGTCACCTATGTACAAAGGTCCAATAGCTAAAGGAAACTGTAGTCCTCCATATCAATGCTAGTCACTGAGTTCTAGATCAAATTCAGGATAGAGGTCCTTTGTGGTAAGTCCTCGGATCACAGCTAGGAGAGAGAGAGAGAAAATAAATACAGCTTCCATTGCAGAAGATGCAGGACAGGCAAGAGTTGCATCTTGTTGCAACTCTTTGTTCAAGTAATGAAAGACTAGCACCTTCTAAGCCTTTGCCTTTGTTGGTTTCTTTAATAGCCACGCAGCTGGTGCAAAAGCATCAGGCTTACATACCCTCCTGATTCCATTCCTAACCTGGAAGTCTTTTACAGGTCTTATGCAGTGCTGAATACATAAGTCACAAGAGAAACAGTGAGGGTTTCTATCTAATACAGAATGATCTGCTTTGAGAATCCACAGAAAACATAAACTGCCTTTAATGGCAATTGCATAATACCCCCCTTAGAATCAGACAGAGCATGAATAGGTTCCTGAAATCCTTCCCCTACTCTGGAAAGATCCCAAAGGGGTAGTGACAAGAATATTTTCTCTTGAGTAAGGGATATAGGGTGATCCTAGAACTGATGATAAAAACTTAGTAGTGTAGCTTCTGTTAAACAAAATGAAAATACTTCTGAAAAACAAGCTGCTTGTTAGCCGAGTCCTGCCTTACCCAGCTTGCCCAGCAGCATCTGTCCAGCATCTTTAATATCATTGTATTCATGGAGCAGAGAGATGTGTTTCTCCAATTCATCCAGGCTGTAGCCTCTGTAACAACAAAACCAGAAAGGTCACAATGAAAGAGTGACTACTGCTGTTTGTCTCTAGTAAACAAATGTTGCAGAGGTACTAGAGAGAGACAGGGACCCACTCAGCCCTGCAAGTTGCCCTGCTGCCTTCGGGCATTGAGGGCAAAAGGTCCAAAAAGTCGTCTTCAAAAAGTCTGCCTAGGGAGCACGGTGTGTACTCAGTTGTCCAAGATCAAGCCTCCCCTAACAAAACAAACCAAAAATAGTTCTCAGTCAGGTACAAGAGTAAGTTGTGAATATGAAGCAGGTCTGCCTGATATTGTTGGAAAGGAAAGAGGTAAGGAAATGGGCAGCTTATCCAAGATGGGAGAAACTGGATTAACTTCACTGTTCCTTATTTGTGGATTATAACCCCACACAGTTTCTGTGTAAGGTACTGCTTAGGTTTCATAATTTGTAACCCACAAAAGGCACAGCTGCCAGGAATCAAGGGCAAGATGACCATGACTCTGCTGCACCATCGAGGATTCTAGGACCTTCATCTCCTTTATATAACACCCTTCATTCCAAAGCTTCACCCACCATTTACTCATCATGAAAATGCAACTGTTTCTGAGGTTTAAAGTTGTGAGTTGCCGAGACAGCACATATCAGACAAAGTAGACAAGATTGCTACGAGAGGAAAATTTGGGAAACAAGAACATACTTTACTTGAAGTTTGGCCAAGACATAAAATGAGACCTGCATTTTAAGTCTCATCAAAAAGATGCTTTGAATAACACAAAGCCTATTAGCAGCATGACAGGTAAGAACACCTCTTTATAAGCCACAAATATTCCTTCCCGAGACACGGGCTTCCCTTAAAGTTCTCCCTCATGAACACTGCATGCCCCCGAAGGCTGGGAGGGCATGGCAAACTCCCGCAGGTGGCGGCAGTGGTGTTGGTGGTGGAAGCATGGCAGCAGCAGTGCCAGCAGGCGGGGTGAAGGTGGTAAGTGCCGACCAGGGGTTGGCGACCACCTGCAAACACTGCCAGCAATGATCAAGGACTGTCTCCGATGCTGCCAGCAGTATCAGCGGCAAGTGGGGGGGGGTGATGAGTGGTGACTGCCTGCAGGCGCCGCCAGCAGTATCTGTGGCGCTTTTTGTGGGGGGGTGCACTGCCAAGCTCAGGGCGCACGTGCACCCCCTACACAATCACCAATGCTCTCCCTCGCCAATACTGAATAAGCACAGCCTTGCTTTGCCAAACAACAGACAAAGTTCTTAGTTCTACTTTGTACTCGGATGCTGAAATTAACAATGCTCTGAGCTAAGCAGACTGAGCTGATAAAGAAATATGAGAAAGCAACCAGCCTGAAAGGACCATTTTCAATTCTGATGCAGAGGCTTGGGTTGTTTTAAAAGATAACACAGGCCTTGTGCCAAGCATCAAGCTAGTCAAGGACATACTCAGCCAATAACTGTGCAATTTCCTGGTCCAGAGCGAGGTCCTTCTCTTTCAGCTCTTTAATTTCACCCTGTAGGGTTTCCTTGTTGATTCCAACTGATGGAGAGGACCTTGGAGACTGAATCTGTAGGGCAAAGAGTACATTTAACATTTTACTAATTCAGCACCATGCAAGAAGCCACTGTCCCAGATAGAACTGATCAGAAGAGACAGTAAGTGCCTGTTAGTTCATTCCTGAAGTATCACTTAAATGAAAAAAAAAAAAAATACTAGACCTTGCAGAAAAACTTGACAAAGCATTTATCAGTCTATGAAATGCCAATCTATTCTGTGTAGTTTGTGAGCTCTTCCCAGCGGAGGCTGGATCTTAGTCAGTATTTTGTACAACACTACATGAAGAATTATAACAAACAATTTAGAAAAACAGCTTTCAGAGCACATGCACGGGATTACAGTATCCAGCATCTCAGGATACAGCTATCTAGTACACTTCAGTAAATTAACAGAAATTTAGGCTGCATAAATTACTCAAGAGCAGGTCTCCTCTTGTCTGGATGACAGATCTGCTTGTTGCCTTAGTGAAGTCACAGAGTTAAATTCTCTTTCCCCAGGGAAATCTCTACTGAATCAGATCTGAACCATTACAAGTATTAGGATCACCTGCAGTTTCAGCTGAGAGAGCAATGACTACATATGCCATAATGACTGAATTATCACAAGAAATGGTTCCTCCGGAAGAGATGTGAAGCCTTGTAGACATAATAGCTGTCCATACCAAACTCACTCTGCAGACACAACTTCCACAGGGCTGGCTACAAATGACGGACTGACAATGAGACTAAATTCATTTGGCAGTAATGGATTCTATGCAGATTCATTTCTGTACAAGGAGGGAGAGGCTTTGGAGAAGTTTGTTGCTGCCACACGCCTGCATTATAGATGGCAAAACATCTGCATTCAACTATGGGCTTCATCGTGTGTGTAAGAGAAAGAAATGGTCCACGTAACCAACCAGCTTAGCTGCTGCCATGTAGGCGCAACAGTTGTCTGTGCCAAACTCAGTCTGAGCTGGCTGAAAATGAGACCGAAACCGAGAATGAATTTGTGTAGCAGCAACAGACTCAATGCAGACTCCTTTCTGTACGAGGAAGAGGCACTGGGAATGAAGGACGCTGCTGTCCTGCGTCCGCACGCCAGATGGCAAAACATCCGCGCCGTACTAGGCTTGCTGTGCATCTAGCGTAAGAGAAAGAAACCGCAGAACCGACTGCTGCGGCTGCTGTTATTCTCTAGGAGGGATCCCAACTGGGTCATCAGGGTGGATGAGAAGGCAGGTCCGCCCCCATGCCCGCTCCTGTTCCCAGAGCACAAGGGCCCAAGCGATGCAGCGCTCTGCCTGGGCGCAGGGCCCGGCACTCACCGGTGATCGGAAGCCCGCGTGGCAGTGGTCCTGGCGCCCGAGAGGGGCCCTGGAAACAAGCAGAAGGAAAGGGCCGCTTTCAGAAGCGAAAAGATTGAAGGAGTCAGGCCGGACCCCGTCTCCCTCCCCACCTCGAGAAGCAGCAGCAGCAGCTCCCCAGAGCGCACTGCACTACCCAGGGGGCCTGGGGCTCACCGAGGGCCAGGCACCCCCGAGCCCAGGGGAGGGAGCAGTGGCCCCAGCAGGCGCGGAGCCCTCGGGGCAGGGAGGGAGCTCGTACCGGCGCATGAATGGCCGCAGCGCCGCGCCGCGCTCCCCGGGCCCGCGGGGATCCAGGGCGGCCCGCGCGGTCTCCCCGCCGCTTTGCATGCTGGGAGCTGTAGGGGCTGATGGGACTTGTAGTTGGTGGCGGCTTGACGCCGCTTTGAATGCCGGGAGCTGGTGGCTCGTCGCCGGGGGAGCCGATTGCAGGGACTTGTAGGCTGTGGAGGCCTGGCGCCGCTCGGCCCGCTGGGGCTTGTAGTTTCTTGACCTTGCCTGGGGCTGGCAGGGCGGGGCGCGGAGGGTTTCTTGCAGCCTGTCTAGGGGCTGGCAGGTATGTTGGCCTTGTGAACCGCTGCCAGAGCCTGGATTCTCCTCTGGAAGAAGGGGGAGGCTCGAGCTTGCTCCTTCCCTGTCACTTGCGTTTGGGGTCCTGGAATAAGCACAGGATAGAAGCAATGGGCTGAATTCAGGGGCGGATCTGGTGGGGGGCAGTTCCCTTTGATTTCTGCTCTACCCGAACTGTAACACCACCTGCCTGGGAGGGGCAGTGGCATTTTGGTTCAGGCAGCAGAGTTAATTGACTTCAGCGCTCATGATCATCTACCTGTTTCCTGCTAATGTCTCTTCATCCCATAGGTGTGAATGACCTTTTTAATGGTCTTGATGTTCCACTGTGCAACCTATGCTTTCTTCTGCAATGCTGCAGTCTGTTTGCCATTCCTGGTCCTGTGTCTCTTCTATTTCACAGCACTGTAGATTGGTTTTAGCTCTGGCTAAAAACCTTCACTTAGGTGTGGTTATATAATCTCAGGTGTAGACATGACCCCCAGTGAAGTGCTGAGGTGCTGTCAAGGCACTCAAGAAAACCAGGTTTTGTTCAGTGAATCTAAAAAGACATGGACATTTAACTTTCAGGACTAATGAAAAAGCATCTTTTAACCTTTTTTGCCTCATTTCTTGTGTTCTTTTTAAAGCGTTACATATAACCCAGCAGATTAATGCACATTCCAATACAGATTTGTTTGTTTTCACTTTGATCTTAAACTGAAAAATAGAGCACGAGGCCCCTAGCAAACTAGTAAAGCTTCTGATTTCTCTTTAGCTGGAGAAAAATAGATGTTATATGTGATGATGCAACACACCAGCTACACCCCCCTTTTTAAAATCCTAGATCTACCCCTGGTTGTAACGGTGCAGTCCTTGTGATGTGTCCAGCACTACTACAGTATGCATAACATGCACTGAAAGAGCCTGCTAGGAGAGATTGGAGATGTAACCAGCCTGCATGCAATCTCTCCTAGCAGGGGGTATTAGATAGAAACCCTCACTGTCTGCCTTGTGACAAAAACCACATTGCTTGAGTACTGCAGAACCAGCCTGCATCCAATCATCATGAGTATAGGCAGAAACACTACACAGACTGAGATGGTCACACAGTCTTGCAGATCTTTTCCATCTTTATCTTGCATGATCTTTATCTTGCATTCAGCTTCCTTTTATAAACAGTTCCCACTCCGATTTAATTTTGAAAAGGTTCTGTACTCTGCCATCTCTAAATCACCTTCAGTTAGCAAAATATACCAAAGATAAGATAAGGCCTGGTACTAGACATGTGACTGTGGCTGTTTGGGTAATAGTTATTATCACAGAATCACAGAGAAGTAGGGCTGGAAGGCGCCTCCAGAGGTCATCTAGTCCAACCCCCTGCCTGAGGCAGGCTCAGCCCTATCCAAACCATATATTTGAGTCCATTGTCTAACCTCTTATTTGTTCAGAGCTAAGACGTTATGCGAGTCTCACACAATGAAGTAAAAGATTTAAGATTTCTGAAGTGCAAGACACAAGAGTTATTTTTCAAAGTATGCAAAATCCTACTGACTGCTATTACAAATCAAGTTTAAAGTTTACATATTAAGGAAGAACAGGATCAAGAATGTGAAGATGAGCTCGTAAACTCACCTGTACATGTTACTTGCTTCTCAGTGAATTCAGAGAGCTTTACAACATCCATTGATGTATAACTGGGAGAGAGACCCAGAAGCAATTACTTCATTAATCCTCCAAAACCATGCAACTTGTAGGAAGAAACACTTTGGGGGGTTATGCATCTGTTGTCTAACTCTTCATGTCTACAGAGCTGGCATGAGCACAGCAGAAACAGAGAAAGCTGGAAAATTACATCATAGTCGTTTGACAGCTCTTCAAGCATTTTTCTTGACACTTGAGGCTTGTGTCAAGTGTTTACTCTTACACTTCAAAATTTGAGTTGCTCTAATAAAAAATACCAGATTTACCCAAAGAACCTTGTCTCCCTATGTCCTTAAACCAATACAGCTACAACCTATACCCCTGTTACAAGTAACAATACTTATCATTTAGGTAGTGCTCATCTTGGTGTGCTTGACTAACATTCCCTGCACAAATAATTAGTCTTCATCACACAAGTGAAGCAGGATAAATCGATTGATATGAACATACTATTTGCTAGCTTCCCTGAGAAATTTTAAAACAAAAATCAAGAAGACAACCTGTCCTGTGGTACCTATTTCATTTTTAAATTTCTCAAGGCTTAGAAAATATACCTGTATCCAAGCACTTTGTTTTTAACGAAATTCATTTTTTGTAACTTATTGTATTCTACCAAAGTATTTCTATATATTAACTTTGACCTGGAAGGCTACAAAAATACTTTATAAACAGCTGATATACAAATGACATATTTTACCCACCACTGAAATGCAGCAACCTCTGGTGTAAAATACAAAGATCTATTTAACACCACAAAGTAACACCCCCACAATAGTTAATAGTAAAAAATATTTATTTCCATTGGAAACAGCATCCAAAACTTTAGCTGGTGCAGATTATAACTATCCAAATAATTATGAGGACAGGACACCTGGGTTAAAATTCCAATTCTTACAAACATACCATAACTGTTGTTTTTTTCAAAGTGGTCAAAACCTAAATATTGCATTTCATCCAAAAGGCAGCATCTCTTTAAGCACAAAATCCTTTAATAGGCTTGGGAAGCTGACTCAGAACTGAGTCTCAAAGGAAAAGAGTGCCATCATCACCACCCTTCGTACAGCACACGCACCATGTCTGACTGGATTCAATGGTGACTTAGAAGAAAGGGAAACACCTGCTGCAATACTACCACCGCCACTTGCAGCCCTTGAGCATTCCTCTGAAATCTTATGCCCAAGTTTAACCCTGGTGGAACACGCATCTCAACATCCCAACTGGACAAAATGTCCAATACAGGCAAATACTAAAAAAAACAGCAACAGCAGCTGGTTGAAGGAGAACCAAAGTTTAAAATGAGTCACATTTCTCAGTGCTTGAAAACCTGAACCACACCCAATTATACAGCTGTTTACATTCCTGTTCTCACTAGTGCTTCTCAATTTCTTCTTGCAATACAAACCCAGGGCAAGACAAGAAAACCATTTGCACTGCACTAGGCACGTGTCAGGAAGAGGCTCCTTCCTGTCTTTACCCTGGTATAACTGTGTGAGTGTACCGCATGTGCAGTGGTGACACTCAACTTTCTCTGAAACATTACCCCTGAGGAAATGCTGGAGGCAGGGATAACAGATTCAACGGACTACTGACCTGATCCAGCCTACTCCGCTTAAAGGAAATAAGCTAAAGGAGGGAGGTCCAAGAATTCAAGATTCAATCCAGAAAAAAAAGCAACATCCTCCACACACCATGAATCCTAGAGGCAGGGCTCAAGCATGATAGAGAAACCTAGAGAGATTTGACAAGACTGGATAAACACCAGGTTAAATTTGTAAGGCACAACTGTTTTCTGGAGAAATTAGCCCGGCACACAGCTAAGAATCAAAGGGTGGGACCTCCAGAGATCATCTAGTCCAGCCGTTCACAAACTCTGAGAGATTGCACACCGCTAATTTAAAACGATGCAACCTTCAGTACCACCAGCACATTTTTCAGTTCAACCTTACGTACCACCAGCAAATTTTGTCAGATAAAGTAATGATAATAAATCTGTTAACGCGTACCGCTGACAGGTGGCCTGCGTATCACTGGTGGTACCCGTACCACAGATTGGGAACCGCTGATCTGGTCCAAACCCCGCCTGAGGCAGGATCAGTCCTGTCCAAACCATCCTATACCACCCACCACCTCAACCCCACAACCCTAACACTGTACGAGGCGACCCCTGAACCTGCTTCATATCCCGAAGGGAGAGACCAAGGGAGAGACCTGGGCAGACGGGGCAGAGATATGCTGCACAGACCCCAGGCAGAGGCGTGGCTGTGTCCCCTCACGAACTCACCCCCGCCATGAAGCAGGATGAGGCCTGGGCGTGTCCCCCCCCCAGCCCTGCCTTTCTCCTGACAACAAATATGGCATATTTCCTTCAGGACCTGGAGGCATTTTGCCAGCAACCCCGTTTTGAGCCCTGTGACAGATGCCTTTTCCTAAACAAGAGGCAGGGGGCGGCCGGAGTCCCCACGCCAGGGGAAGCCCAAGGAGCAGCCCAAGGCTGAGAGAACACCACACCGCGGGACGAAGGAAGCAGGCCGCACGCATGCGCACGCACTAGGGAGGGGAAGGGGAACGCCGGCGCGCACGCGCACGCGAGAGGGAGAGGCGGCGCGCACGCGCATGC